AGGAAATTAAGAGGCTTCTTGTATTGTTCTGCGTGTAAGAACCAGGCCAGCCTAAGAGCTCACGCCCAAGGCACACGACTGACGCGCGTGCTCGGAGCAGCTCTTGCGCCTTGGGTCTCCCGCGGGCGGGTGGAGCGGCAGAATAGCTCATGCACTGGGAGGAGTAAAGGATCTCAGTGGCTACACAAGAGCAAATCCAAGGGCCGGCCAAATAGCTCAGCAGATTAAAGCACCTGCAAGCAGGCACAGGGCCCGGGAGTTCGATCCCCAGGCTGGCTGTGCCAGTCCTGCCTCTGGGGCGCACTGAGACAGCACTTGAGACTGGGCGTGGTGGCCTGCACCTAGAATCCCAGCTCTTGGGAGGCTGTAAACAGGCAGATCACTAAGAGTCTGACCTAGCAGTGAGACCCTGAACACCCTGCAGACCCTTCTCTAAAATGAAAAAAAAAAGACAGAAAAAGCAGCTTTACTAATAGCAGACGGGGCAGTGAGGCCCCGAATCTTTGGAACACTGCTTGAATACTGTTCACTGACTATAATAAATACACATATTCGTTCAAACAAAAGAAATAAATAAAATAAAATAAAGGACAAATGCAGGTTCAACTGTCACAGATGAAATCAGAGGCAGTTACCCTAACAGAGAGGCCGCCCTGATAGGTTTGCTGCTGACCCTCCCTTAGTTATCACCTCACATTTCTTTATAAAACGCTCCAAAACTTTTCAGCTAAAATAAACCATTTCTCTTTTGAAGTTAGTTATCTCTAGTGTGTTACAGGGACAGCAAACAGACTAGCACACTGAATCCCGCTGTGACACCTAGTCACCACCAGCAAGACGGGTAATACCAGAAGCCGTCCTTCTGAGCCAGCTTGCTCTTCCTCTACTTGGTCTCACTGAGACCAGAGTTCCCAGAAATGTGGATCTCGCAGTCGGGGCCCGAGCAGTCAGGAGAGAAGGTGAGGGCCAGGGGTGCCTGCGTCCCTGGGACAGGACACACATTCCAAGTCATCAATCGTTGTTTGAGTCGGTGTCACGTGGTATACAATCTCAGTCTCCCGGGAGCAGGAAGCATTCCTGAAGGAAATTTGGGAGGCCATCTAGGAGGCCGAGGAGGACACAGATAAGGCAGATTGCAGCCACTTGATCCAAGAGACAAACTCAAGAAAGGGTACAGAATTAGGATTCTTCTGGGGGATGAATTCTGAACATTGATTAAAGTCCTATAACAAACTTTAAAAAGTACTCTGTTTTCCCTCAAGGATTTACTGTGATTCTTTTTTCTTTTATTTTTTATATTTTAGGGAAGGGTCTACAAGGTGTTCAGGGTCTCACTACTAGATCAGACTCTTAGTGATCTGCCTGTTTACAGCCTCCCAAGAGCACGCACCACCACGCCCAGTCTCAATTGCTGTTTCAGCATGTCCTAGGGGTGGGGCTGGCATGGCAGGCCCCAGGATTGAACCCTGGCCCCTGCACCTGCCTGCAGGCACTTTAATCCACTGAGCTATTTGGCTGGCCCTTAACTATGATTTTTAATCAAATCCTCAAAATGCAACTGACAAAGGCCTTTGAAAAAATATGCACCAAGAAAGTGGTCCTCAGGATGGACACTGCAGCCCAGCTCAGCATGCACAGAAAATGAGACATGAACTATTAGCCATCAAGCAAGTTCCAGGCCCTTCAAGTGAAACTGCTTGACCTGTTTGGCAGCAAAATAAATACACTGGGTGGTCCATCTCGGGCACCCGTCCAAGTTCTAATCACATGTTTTCATGGTATCGGTACTTAAAGGCCCCGCCCCACTGCTTCAACACTATATGGGGACAGCTCCCAACACATGGCAACCAGCATATTACAAACACATTTGCTCCACAGGACACACTCTGCAGGTTTCCCAAAAGCACAAAGTCAGCAAGCGAAGGAAGATCTGCATGTTCCAACCCAGAGCTCTGCATGGAAACACCCTACGTGGGCTTGAGGGGAGGCTTCCCCGCACCCACAGCCAGCTGACTCTGCAGAAGTATCCCTGGTGTTTTCCAGCCCAAATGGCAGAGAAGAGGCTGCAAGGGAGGATTCTCGGCTCCAATATCGGGGCATTTCATTTTGCACGCAATCCTTCAGTTTTTCCTATCCCTGAAGCCTTTGATAAAGTTATTCCAAATTCTCCAGATTTTTTTCCTCCCCTCTACTGTATAAACCATGGAATAGAAGACAGAAAAGTTAGAGTTGAGTGCACAGTTCTGCCACTTTACGGACCTGACCAAGTCCCTTAACTTCTCTAAACTTTACTTTTCTATTTACTGGGTTAAAGGGGATCTGAGAGGACTGAACAAGGATTGGAAAGCTTGGATGAGCCTCGTGTTTTTGCACGTGTGTGAGTCTAGGTTCACCCGTGTACTTCACTGGCACACATACATTAGTACAAATACATTAGTGCCAAGCACACGCACCTCCTTGAGGCTAAGAGTCACTCGTACGCTTCCTCAGCTGCAAAAGCTCGTGTAGTAGCAGTAATTGGATACTGTTGGACACTCATGTATACCAGGTCCTGTTCTAAATGCTTACTTATGTCAGCTGGTTTAATCGCGCCCGCAAGCCACTGAAGTAGCTGCTATTATTGCTCCCAACATACAGACAAGCTCTTTGAGGCTCTCAGTGGTACACAGAAAAGCTGCTCCTGACCGCTCCAAGCACGGCACATGATGTCATTCGTGGCTGTTGGACCTGCGGTCAGCAAGGCCTTGGCGCCACTTCTGGTTCATGGACCATCTGACCCGAGCCTGGAACCAAGCACATGGTCAAAAGCCACTGAACTCTCCGATGAGCCTCGTGATTTTTCACGTGCGTGTGAGCCTGGGTTCGCCTGCGTGCTTCCTGGCACTCGTGAGGCTCCCTGAAAAAATGCATACCATGCCAGTGGAAGGCGCTAGGCACAACGTTTGTGAATGGTCATGGAGCCACGTTGGAATGGAAAGCTGAACTGTTTTGCTTCCAAGCTCTACGTTCATTTTATTCTTTCTTTCCTTCAGCCTAGCATGTGGTGAACCGGGCTTAGCTAACTGGAGAGACTATTATGTTCTCATTATAGAAAAACCAGGAGGCCTTGGAGACGCGCACAAGGCCAAGGATCTTGCTGCAAGTCTATCCAGTAAATCCTCCATGGAACTCGGGAGCCGGAGGGACAGCTCCACTGCCAGACCACTTCCTCTGCTGTCCTGAGGTCTCCACATTTTTGGCCGCTCACTCTAGCAGAACTTCCCCTCTACAGCTGGTCTGGCTGACAGTTTTCAAAATGTAAAAAAATATAAGCCGGAGGCATTATTACCGCGTGCGTGGGGTTGAGCGCAGCCCTCCCGTCTAGGTCGGCCCAGAACTTCAGCACATCTCTGTGCTGGGAATGGAGTCTACAGCGTGACCTGCTCAGAATTTCCAGCTGAAACTGTCCTGGACGTAGGGTGAGCGCAGAACTCAGGAGCAGGTGTCTTCCCAAAGGAAAAACAAAGTGGGGATTTGGGTATGGAGACAGAGGAAATAGCGATGGGAGACGACGTGAAGATGCAGGCAGCTGCAAACCAAAAATCTCTGGGTTCCCAGGAGCTGCAAAGGCGAGGATGAAGGAGCAGGCAGAGCCTCGGGAGCAGAGTGGCTCGCCAATGCTCGGGCTGCGCACTTCCGCCCTTAGCAACCAGGAAGCACTAGGTTTCCATCCGTCTAAGCGCCTGGTTTTTGGCAATTTGTGAAGGCGGTTGGAGGTCACGGATACACTACAGCTACTGCTGAGCCCTCCGGAATGAGGAAAGGGGTCGCAGGACGCTGGAGTCCTCCAGCCATCCGAGATTCTAAATATAGAAGCAAAATAAAAATTTCAGTAAAATCACACTCGACATGGTAAAAAAGACTGTGAATCACACTCTACACAGGAAAACACAAGCCATGACTGGCAACGCTTATTCTCATTTTTGATGGTCCAATAATTACAGCAAAAACTAGTTATAGCAAGAGCCCTTTCCCCCTGTGTAGCATATTTCCATAGAATTATAAAACAGCATGCTCTTAAAAGACATGTTCCAGTTCCACAAAAATAAAGTTAAAGGAAATATTTTAGAAAAAAATAATTCCAAAAATATAATAAAAGACTGTCATATTTCTGCCATGAAATAACCATTTCAAGAATTATTTTCATTACTCCTAGTTGCTACTGATCTATCTAGCCCAGCTTTAAATCTATTACACAGTAAATTTCACTTAAAGTATTCATTAATCTACATTTTTTCCACCACCTAAGTAAGTAGGAACCATCAAAAATGGTTTTTAAAAAAATATTTTAACTGGATCCAATTATGCACTTTCGAATATTTCTCCCAGATTATTACCCAAATGCAACATAGGAAAGACCCTAAATTTTAACTTATTAGGGGAAAGAAAAAGAGCCTGTAAAAATTTTATGCTTTGTAATCAAAGCTAGTGTCCCTAGCGTGGTGCCGGCTACCCGTGTGCAGCTGGGGGCGAAAAAAACCAAGGTGTGAGTAAGTGGCTTTTTCATACATTCTCTCCGAGGTTTTTAAATTGGACCGCAGCCACCCTTAACAGCGCGTGCTCACAGAAGGCTTCTGCCCGAGCCACCGACTAGCCGCCCTGCGCCCGCTTCCTGCTGCTGCCAGGCCGGTGACTGCTCCTCACATGCCTCGCAGGGCACAGCGCTGGTGCGCGTCAGTTTTCATAAAGAAAGCACGAGGACGACCACTGATGTGCTTTCGACATCCTGTGGCTTCGCAGGAAACTCCTCCACGGTCGGAACACGCGCAGGAGGCTCCTCTCTCCCGCTCCCCACCCCACGCTCCCCTCGCTCTAGCTGCTGCCCTTCCTCAGCGCAGGACTCTGCCCTGCTGCCTGTAGAACCACTTGCCTCCGCCCTCCCTGGCCTCCCGTAGCTCACTGCCGCTGTGTCCCACGTCTTTCAGCTGACGCTGTCTCTCCGCAGGCCACTGCCCCAGAGCTCTGGCTTCAAGCTTCTGGTCTCGGAGCCCCTCGGATGATACTTTTACCTGGACCTTTCCTCTCTGCACCCTCCTCCATGGTCTCTTTGCAGGTAAATGTGTCACAAACATCCCTGACCTCATGTTAGTCCCCTGCTTATATAATATCAGATTGTGTGTGATCCCCAGTTGTCCACTGGATTAATCTCTCTTCTCATAGCTGGACCGCTTGTCCTCTATAATGAGCTCCATCTATGGACCTCTCTCTTTCACCCTGTAGCCCACAGCTGTGGTTCTGGAGCGACTGCTCTTCCCACTTCTCTCCTCCTGGCCAGCTGCTCCTGCCCGTAGGGCTCCTGAACACTGGCAGCGTGCCCGATTCTTCTCTGACCTTGCCCAGAGAACATCCTCCTCTACTGGTAAGAAACTCCCCCAGCTCTTCACTGTCCCGCTTGGCCTGACTGGCCCGTGGACTTTCTCACTCACTGTTCTACTGCACATGGTGATACCCGACGTCTGAGGTAACTCACTGTCCACAGCCTACTCCTTACACTGTGGGACCTCAGTTCGTGAATCTGATTTAGCACATGACTCTTGTGCAAACTCAGTTGAACGAGAACTGAATCCAACTCAATTATTATTTTCCCTGGATAGCTACACTTGGCCTTTACCTACTGAGGTCTGTCCCCGCACGGCCTACACAGTACAATACTAGCACCTGTCAGTGTCACAGCCCCACTCACTTTGACCTTCAGTTCTGCTCTGGTCAAAACAACATCCATGAATTGTTTTTCTTTTTTAATACAAATTTGATGACAATGCAGGTTAAATCCTGTACATTTTCTCTTTGCATTTATAGGTAAGTAGCAATTCCTTCTCTCTAAGCTCACCTCATCTTTCCCTTTAAGCCTTCGTGCATACCCTGGAGCTCCTGTCCTAGTCTACGTTTCTTTCATTCCCAGCACATGGCACGGCTAGGAAAAGCTATCCCCTCTGCCTGCGCTTCCCCTGGGTCCCCTCGGATCTGCCTGCGCTTCCCCTGGGTCCCCTCGGATCTGCCTGCGCTTCCCCTGGGTCCCCTCAGATCTGCCTGCGCTTCCCCCTGGGTCCCCTTGGATCTTCCTGCACTTCCCCTGGGTCCCCTCGGATCTGCCTGCGCTTCCCCCGGGTTCCCTCGGATCTGCCTGCGCTTCCCCTGGGTCCCTTCGGATCTGCCCACACTGTCCTGGTTTCTCTGCCTCCCAGGAATCCAGCCCTGCTCTCAGAGGCCCCCATCACACCCCTTCCATCTCTTTCTTTGCTTTCATGACACAACCCTGTTCCTTTCTCTTTTAACTTAGCTGTTACAGTTTATTTTAAAGAGAAAAAATAATACAGTTTCAAAACAGGCTAGCAGGAGAATACCAATAATTTATGCACTGCACATATTGTTTTTTTTTCAAAGTAGTTATTCAGAGTATAAGATATAGACATGAAATGTTGTTCAAACATTAACACAGGGGCTGGGGAGATAGCTCAGTAGAATAAGCGCTTCCCTGGCAAGTGCAAGGGTCTGAGTTCAATCCCCAGTTCTGCCAAAAAAACCCAAAAACATTAACTCAAATCTTTATTTTCAATGAACTAAGAGAAACTAGCTGTATAGCCATCTTGACTATCATATGTGTGTATATGTTTATGTATTTAATATAACTAAATATACCTATATTTATTATGATTATGATATATACTTATTACTATGTTTAACAATTATAAACATATTTAAATATACATATATATTTTTTCCTTTCTCCTATTCCTTTCTATGCCTTGATTCCTTCGAGTTTAATAGCCTTTATATGTCTTCTAAAAAATTATTCCTAAAGTCCTCTTTCCTTCTCCTAAGGAATTCATTTTCTCTCAAAATGATTTTAATTCCTCTAGCTTTATCGAGCACATGCATGTTAAGCACCTCTAAAATGAACTGCCCTTTCCAGTCTAAGCTTTAGACTTTACACCCTAAACTTGCAGCCCTGGCTCAATGCCGAGTGACGCTTCAGGCAACCCACCAAACACTGAACCAGCTGCCTTTACACTTTCTGCTCCCCCTAAATTCTTTGTTTTTGTCAATAGCTTTGCACTGACAGTTGTGGGTTTCTTTTAGACCATTGCCTAAACCCCACCTCCAAGTGTAGTGACTAACCAGGGTCTAACCCATTCCACTTTTCCAGTCTGTCCTCTCTCCTGTTTCCTTAGTCTATCAGAAAAGGATTGAAGCAGTCCCTCCTGAAAGCCTCAGTTGCCCTGCACATTGTTCTTAAAGTTACTTCCGTTTTGCCAGAGCTAGCTGGTTACGCAAATGGCAGTGTCTCTTCTAGGCTAAACAGCCGAAGTTCCTAAACGCGAGTTTGCATTTTCTGTCTTCCCAACTTCAAGCACGGCCTGGACGGCAAGGAAAGCCAGACGACCACTGTATAGCTTTGTCCCTGTGGTTACCATGTGACACACGCTCCCCTTTTCTTCTGTGATGCAGATTGCCACGCGCTCTGTGACACCAACTCTCCGTCTTTCCAGATGGGATCCCTCTGTGCACAAACAAGCCTCCCCTGACCAGGCCCACATGCCAGCCGCATCCATCTGCTTTTGATCTTGACTCCCAGCCACTGCTGAAAGAGTGAATCTGGGCTTCGGGGAGTTTTATAAAGATGTCCCACTTATTTCTAATGACCAGTCTTTTCATTTGGCCTCAAAATTACTGTCGTTACTGTTCTAAATGTCAGCTGTAATGCCCAGTGCTTTAGCTTTCTCTCTACACAATCATGATTATAGGAATTTTAAAAAATTATGTAGCTGAAGGTGACCCTGAACGTTTATTTTAGAAGATTAACGGTTGTGCTTTGCATGTCACCTGTGCAAATCAAGTCATTAAAGCTGCTCTGCGTTGATTAACACTGCCTGAAGGTGCTAATTTCCTGTCAGCGCCAGCCAGGCGTTCTGCAAGTCTTGCGCCATCAGTCTCCTTTCCACTGGGCCTCGGAGGACTGGGGCATATTTTTCAAGTTTTTTTAGGATTCATAAATGTTCTTCTGCCTTTCAATATAATAAAACCACTTAGTAGAAACCAAAAAATCTGATTGTGTGTTGATATATAAGCCTTTAATAACACATAAATGTAAGGAACATCATCTGAGGTCATGTGTACTGTTTCCCTGGAGAGAGAGCTCACAAAATGCTGAAGGAATCTCTCTGCTTTGTCACATGTCAGGGTGCATGTGATGGCAAAAGAAGGCAAGGTTCGTATTTGCTTAGCCTAAAAGGTTTAGCTTGTAGTAATCATTTATTTTTTTGCATGCTACATCAGGCTACAGTAAATGTTTAAGCCATTGCTTGCTGGGCATTTCAAACCTTCTGTGAAATCAATTTAATCTTGTCTTCTTGAAATTGCTCTTCACGAAATCATGGAAACTGTGTTTGGAAACAATTATATGAATAATCATGTCAGAATCTCTTCATTTTAGTTGAGCTTGAGCTTGTATTTTTCTCTGCAGGCTCACACTTTTAAACATATTTTGTCATGCAAGGTCCTCAGCTATACATTCTGCGAGCATTAAAGCTCCTAGGTTGGCTGAGCTTGTTGGCTAATCACCTAATTAGCTTCCTGCTTTGGTGCCCTGCAGAAGACTCAAGCAGATACTGATAGTCATTCCTATAAGCGATTGGTCCTTGGCATAGAGGTACTGTAATACAAAACCCGTGTCCTTCAAATGCAAAAACAAAGCCCTTCCCCCATCCAAAAGAAAAGCTATAAATTCAAGCCAACATAAACTTGTCAGACTTCGCTCCCTCTCAATTTCACACCAGGGCGTGGTGCTACACAGCTGGGGAGCTGAGCTAATAAGTGTTGAAAAATGAAAAACGTTGCTTTATGGATCACATAAACTGGCAAAAGAATACTTTTAACTCCACCCCACTTTTGAAAAACAAATGCCAAAATGCCCATGCTGTAAGAATGAGATTTTATGGTATGAGACCCAGAGGACAAGCAGAACTGTCTTATGGGATTTTCCTTTTATTGAATACTTCACATAATAAGAAGTGGCATAATATTTGTAAAATCTGGTCACTTTTGGTTCCTTTCTGAACCTCAAAGGGGTCATTTCTAGAAAAGCTGTTGGAAACACTACATAATGATCTATTTATCCAGTAGTGAAAGAGGATTATCCCTTTTACGAGGAGACTGTGCCTTCTCTTACAATACAAATACCGCAGCATAAGTGTACAACTCAAGGTTCTGGAGAAACACTGTGTTCAACTAATATTTACCAAATATCATTAATTGGGTTCACAGAGTGATGTAAAATTTGCATGAAAATATAATGCTGACAGCTGTTTCCTTAGGCTCATTTGTTTCACAGATAAGGGTCACTCACTCCTTGCTCCTTAGTTATTCATCCAATATTCAATCAACAAACAAAATTCCAGGTTTACCACACCTAAGCCGCATGCACCTAACAAATCTCAGAATCTGCAAGAGAATTTGAGTTGGCCATGGACGATATCCCTTTGTGCAGGAGCTTGAAAGGAATGAGATGTAGCCAGAAATGACAGGCAGGTGGGTATGTAATTGGGGTGTATTCGTCTCTGCAAGGAAAGTTGGTGGCCCAGAAGACAGGATGTAGCTGAGGAATTGCGCAAAGGGTCCTAAATGCTACAACACTCCGGTACCTGAGATTTCCAATCACAACTTTTAGTTTACTGTGATTATCTATTCTGTATATGCCTTCTTTGATTTTCCATCTTTAGAAATATATTCTTTTTCTACTGAACTTGCAAAACATTTGCCAGTAACTTTATTTAATACTCACTTTATTTAATATTAATCATTGTTATAGCTATGTATACTGCTTTTCTCCTTGTTAAATAAAAACTCTTTGAAGGTAGGATCAAAATCTGATCTATTGTGCCAGGAAGATAGCTCAGTAGAATAAGTGCCTGCCCGGCAAGCACAGGGTCCCAAGTTTAATCCCCAGTACCACAAAACAAAAAAGTCTGATCTATCTTTCATTATTATTTGGTTGAACAAAGTTTCCAATGAATTTGAATAAGCAAATACTCATAGCATCATACTAGCACTTATTACAGTGGTAAACGATGACAAAACACAAGTGCCGATTGAGCAATCCACATCCAAAGCGCATGACTCACATCTGGGAGAAGTACCACGAGGGTGGTCTAAACCATGTGCAGATTCAACACTGGAGTGAAATATAGGAATGCTGGCTTCTGCTTTTAAAACAGGGAAACACATGACGCAGGCCCCAAAAAGCGACACTCTTCAAAGTTATCTGAGTGCACTCTATAGACTACATACAATCCAAGAATACAATTCCACAAGCTATGTAACATTACCATTGTTATGTCCTATAATTGAATGAAATGCATCAGTGGCTGCTTTCCTCATAAGCAAAGGCAAGTTACCCAAGTGGCACATGATTTCCAGGAAGAAAATCACAGTCATGACCATGACTTTCAATGTCATTAATACTATGACATCATAAAGATGGATAAAAACAAACAGCTTTTGTTAATTGTAGTTGGTTTTAAATATGGAACAGATAATTTTCAAATGCACTATATCCCTCTTTCATAATTCTACTTTTATTCCCCAAAGGAAAACGACTCACGCTCCTTAGTGATTTTCCGTTACAGTGCTCAGAACATAACTGCAGGCCTGCCAGCGCCACTGCCACTGTAACTATTTGACTCAGGTTGAGAGAAAGCTCCTCCTGCTGATCCTCAGGTAGCTACCAATCCTCAGGCAAAACACTAAATCTTTGGCATCTGCTTGAAGTTCGGAGGGTGAAGAACCCTTAATGCAGCAGCCTACCCTGCACCCGCAGCATCTCCAGAAGCTAATTTGATTCCTGACCTCAATATGGAAGGGATAATTACATGATTTTTAAGACTTGCACACGACACACACGGCTGGTGGCCCATTCTGCAGCCACATGAGCTATCTGGGTACGTAAATAATCGCTGATTTTGTAGCAACTAAAATGAGATTTTCATCCTTTTGAAATTAAATGATGGGGCCTGGAATGGAAGTCAGTGGTGAAGTGCCTGCCTGCCAAGTGAGAGGCTCTGAGCTCAATCCCTGGTACTGAAAAAGAAAAAAAATCCCAGAAATTAAATTATGCTCGTCGCCCACAACATCCAGAGCAACACACCAAGTACCAAGAAGGCTTTGGAGGTCCAGGCTCCAGCGCGCAGAGCAGGACACAACAAAAGCACTGTGAAGGGCCCACAGGCATGCCTGACATGCTCAGCACAATCTTGGTAAAAACAGTCACTTTTACTTCTATCTGTAATATGGATCACTATTTAAAAGAAAGACAAGTGGTTCTTTATAGTACTTGTGTCCGTGCGTGTGCGTGTGTGTGTGTGTGTGTGTGTGTGTGTGTGTGCTCATATAAATCTTCTAAATGCCATGCACAATATGGAAATATTCAAAGGGACAGTATGAAACACAGCATAATTACCGAATTCTACTTTAAAGAACTCAGTGGAGACGGATCTTGGGCAGGCGCTGCTGAGAATGTCATGGAGACCTGTGGAACACGAGTTACAAACGATGGGTTTTGAATTAGGACAAAATGGCTAAACATTTTACACCACGCTCTGTTTCCTTTCTTTGTTCTGTGATCAGAAATAAAGAAGTCTACTTTACAACACTATGAGAGTAACTCTGCGTGCCTTACACAAAGCCCAAATTGTAGGAAGAAAGCGCAGCATCCTGTGTTTATGGCCAGGACCAAGGAAGGGGTCACTGTGGAAATCACATTCTGTGTGAACCAAAATAACCTAGCGATTTCGTTCATCATCGACTTTTGTTTCATGGAAGTCTGGCTTGGGACAGAGAACGTCTCCTGTCTTGGCTTGGTGTGCGGCTTACAGGCAAGAAGAGACGTCAGCCTGTGAACGTCCGCGGGACTTGGAATCTGCCCTCTATGCTTCTACTGTCTCCTCTGAATAAGGAACAAATTGGTGGTAGTTTTACCTTGCGTGACTTCCAGAGGTTCGCGTGGGATGGACAGAAAGCGCTCTTCCAGGGGAGTAGCATGGGCCCATTCTTACTATGCACAATGGTCTTAATAGCCGTGCAAAATACGTTAGTAGCTATCAAGTCCACCTGGTGACATCAAAACCCCACATGGACGGGATACTTTCTTCTGGGGAAGAGGAAGATTTAAAGCTATACAGCTTATATGACTTTTTTTTAATTAAAAACAAATAAATTAAAACTGACCATCACTTATCTCTTAAGGCTTTAATGTTTCAGATATTAAAAGTATTTTTTGGTCTGCGTAGATAGAAACATGCACTTTTATAGGCTCCACGAACTTACAATAAGACCTTCGATGTTTTCAGACTCTAGGTAAAAGGATGCTATTAACTCGTCTTCAGATAGAGTAGAGCAGTGGTGCACTTTACAAATTCTACTAACAAATAAACAACTCATACTCTTGCCAGAGGAGGCATCTAGTTTTTCTGGCTTCCCTGAAATCCTATTATGACAGCAGCACATACCAGAAGGCTTCGTGGGTGGCTTTGCTCACAAGAGGCAAGACGTAAATCAGTATTTGTATTAGTGCCAAGTCATTTGTTTTCATTAACAAAATACTGTTAATGTTCTTCCACTGAGACTTCAGTGCTAATAAGAACACAAAAATTGTTAGCAGAAAGAAATAAAATACCTGTATAAATATCTTATCAAAGACCGTCATCAGTGCTAACTGAAGCAAGCAGGCGAGAGTGTCAGCTAACGCCCCAGAAGTTGATGTGATGGTCAAGGGTTTTCTTTTTTAATTTAATTGCAGAGAAAACTGCTTCTCTCGTATGCCTTTTCTGCTGAGCAGCTGTACTTCATGGCAGTCTTGAATGCCTTTAGT